GTGGGGGAGGGAGCCTCATTGATGGAGGTGGGGAAGGAAAGGCTCATTGATGGAGGTGGGGGGTCATTGATGGAGAGGGGGGGGTACATTGATGGAGGTGGGGAGGGAAGTCTCATTGATGGAGGTGGGGGGGCTCATTGATGGAGGTGCTAGGGAGGGAAGGCTCATTGATGGAGGTGGTGGGGAGGAAAGGCTCATTGATGGAGGTGGTGGGGAGGGAAGGCTCATTGACGGAGGTTATGGGGAGGGAAGGCTCATTGACGGAGGTGGTGGGGAGGGAAGCCTCATTGACGGAGGAGGTGGAGAGGGAAAGCTCATTGACGGAGGTGGTGGGGAGGGAAGGCTCATTGACGGAGGAGGTGGAGAGGTAAAGCTCATTGACAGAGGTGGTGGGGAGGGAAGGCTTATTGACAGAGGTGGTGGGGAGGGAAGGCTCATTGACGGAGGAGGTGGGGAGGGAAGGCTCATTGACGGAGATGATGGGGAGGGAAGGCTCATTGACGGAGGTGGTGGGGAGGGAAAGCTCATTGATGGAGGTGGGTGAAAATCTGGCCCGTGAAGTTTGATCTAACAGAAGAGCTACTGGAACTCAAATTGCTGAAATAGTGAATGCCGGTTCTGATAGGAAGGTGTCAGAACACACAAAGCATCACAGTTTTTTGTATATGGGGCTGTGTAGCCGCAGACCAGTCAGGGTGTCCATGCTGATCCATGTCCACGGACAAAAGTGCCTACAATGGGCACATGAGCAGTAGAATTGGACCACAGAGCCATGGAAGAAGGTTTCCCAGTCTGATGTTTCACGTTTTCTTTTACGTCACGTGGATGGCTACATGCATGTCACTTACCTGGGGCAGAGACAACAGCAGGGTGCATTATGGGAAGTCCGGTCCATGGAGGCTCTACCTCACAACTTACAGTGTGTCAGTGGGTTCGATGACTATACCTCCATGTTGTCGAAGTTGGACATTGCTTAGATTAGAAGATCTTCTCAATCTCCTTGGAGACCGGATCTAAGAAGATGGTTATTAGAAGATGGAAATGTACATTTACAAGAGATGGCACCAGGGTGCACTATGGGAAGTCCGATCCATGGAGGCAGGAATTACAGGATCTGGTACTGATGGCTTGGTGCCAGATACCAGGGCATACCTTCAGAGGTCTAGTGAACGTCATGCCTCAAGTTCTTCTAGAAATATTGTCAGGCTTACTGAAAGTCCACAGGGACTGTGGCATTACGGAAGAAAAACTCACCAAAACCAAAGATGTGGAAAATAATCACACAAAGGCCAGAAAATTATATTTAATAATAGAATCTCAAACACGAGCCCATAACCCCATGCATAGACCAGTTCCCACATTCCTGCAAGTGATTTCCCAACCCGGATCCCCCAATACAGAACAAAATATACCACGCACCACGTAATGCTACAACGTGGCTGGTTACATTCTCACAGAGAAGACAGGCAGAGCTGGGCATGACTGGGGTACAGCCATCCCCCCCCCCACCCCACGCAGACTGAGCACCCTTCCGTTAATGTGAAGGAGATGCGAAAGGCTCATACGTCAGCACACACATACACACCAACAAGGCTGGAAGACCACCATATACACACGTAGATGACGCTACGTCACTAGAGACGGCAGAACGGACCACCATGAGCACAACGGGGCGGAGAACCATGCGAAGAGCACGTGCCAGCAGACCACTGAGAAATATAGAAGACTAGCAAAGAGAAATATGTCTGCTTAGAATGATCACTGCCTGGCCTACCCATCAAGAGGACAGTCTAGAACACCTTGTCCTGACCACTGACATCTAAACCTGGCGTGCTCCACCGCAAGGCCAGACTACCAAGAAAACAATCTTTTCCCATGCCTTAAGCTTCTAATCTGGCAATCCTTCCCTACCCACCCGTAGGGCTTGCTGACCTCTTAGTGTGGTCTTCTACCCACCCGTAGGGCTTGCTGACCTCTTAGTGTGGTCTTCTACCCACCTGTAGGGCTTGCTGACCTCTTAGTGTGGTCTTCTACCCACCTGTAGGGCTTGCTGACCTCTTAGTATGGTCTTCTACCCAACTGTAGGGCTTGCTGACCTCTTAGTGTGGTCTTCTACCCACCCGTACGGCTTGCTGACCTTAGTGTGGTCTTCTACCCACCCGTAGGGCTTGCTGACCTCTTAGTGTGGTCTTCTACCCACCCGTAGGGCTTGCTGACCTTAGTGTGGTCTTCTACCCACCTGTAGGGCTTGCTGACCTCTTAGTGTGGTCTTCTACCCACCTGTAGGGCTTGCTGACCTCTTAGTATGGTCTTCTACCCAACTGTAGGGCTTGCTGACCTCTTAGTGTGGTCTTCTACCCACCCGTACGGCTTGCTGACCTTAGTGTGGTCTTCTACCCACCCCGTAGGGCTTGCTGACCTCTTAGTGTGGTCTTCTATCCACCCGTACGGCTTGCTGACCTTAGTGTGGTCTTCTACCCACCCGTAGGGCTTGCTGACCTCTTAGTGTGGTCTTCTACCCACCCGTAGGGCTTGCTGACCTTAGTGTGGTCTTCTACCCACCTGTAGGGCTTGCTGACTTCTTAGTGTGGTCTTCTACCCAACTGTAGGGCTTGCTGACCTCTTAGTGTGGTCTTATACCCACCCGTACGGCTTGCTGACCTTAGTGTGGTCTTCTACCCACCCGTAGGGCTTGCTGACCTCTTAGTGTGGTCTTCTACCCACCCGTAGGGCTTGCTGACCTTAGTGTGGTCTTCTACCCACCTGTAGGGCTTGCTGACTTCTTAGTGTGGTCTTCTACCCACCCGTAGGGCTTGCTGACCTTAGTGTGGTCTTCTACCCACCCGTAGGGCTTGCTGACCTCTTAGTTTAGTCTTCTACCCACCTTCCTGCCATTCTGACTGCTTTGTGATCAAGTTATCCTCATCAAAGGTGCCATAACCTGTTTCCTTTTGTGAAATTATAGCTTTGACCATGCTTCACTCCATGCAGTCTTGCCTTCATTGTTTGTAAAACACACATGATACTTTTGCCTATTGTCTTGGCAAGCTGGTCATGAAAGACCCAACTTCTTCTCTTTTTGAAAACACAACTTTGTTTTTCCAAGAGGCCAGTCAGTGGTCTTACAAATCTACTCCAGACAGGTAGGAAAACCTTACCGTATGATTCTTATATCAATTGCTTGCCATCCTACCTGTGTACTTGATGAATTATCAGGTCTTTTCTACTCAAAGCCTTCTAGGCCCATGTTGGTGGGCCTCTTGCTGAAACATTGTGTTCTCATTTGACAGGCCCCTCTTGCTAGAAGTCAACTGTGACATCCAAGAATGTCTTATCTGAGTACCCTTGTGGTCCTCCTGAGTGGTGGTGGCTATGCCCTGCCTTCTTAGAGGAAACCCTGGCCTTGTTCTGCACAGAGGTCTTCAAACTGCTGGCCCGGGGGGGGGGGGGGGGGGGCAGATGCAGCTTGCCTCTATTTGGCTCTTGGGACACTATTCCTCCAAATGACACCAATGGTGAGGCACCATTCCTCCCACTGACACTATTGATAGGGCACTATTCCTCCCACTAATACCAATGATGGGGCACTATTCCTCCTATTGACTCCAACCTTGGGGTGCTATTCCTCCCACTGACACCAATGATGGGGCACTATTCCTCCCACTGACACCAATGATGGGGTACTATTCCTCCCACTGACACCAATGATGGGACACTATTCCTCTATCTGACACCAATGATGGGGCGCTATTCCTCCCACTGACACCAATGATGGGGCACTATTCCTCCCACTGACACCAATGATGGGGCACTATTCCTCCCACTGACACCAATGATGGGACACTATTCCTCTATCTGACACCAATGATGGGGCGCTATTCCTCCCACTGACACCAATGATGGGGCACTATTCCTCCCACTGACACCAATGATGGGGCACTATTCCTCCCACTGACACCAATGATGGGACACTATTCCTCTATCTGACACCAATGATGGGGCACTATTCCTCGCACTGACACCAATGATGGGACACTATTCCTCTATCTGACACCAGTGATGGGGCACTATTCCACCCACTGATACCAATGATGGGGCACTATTCCTCCCACTGACACCAATGATGGGGCACTATTCCTCGCACTGACACCAATGATGAGTCACCATTCCTCGCACTGATACCAATGATGGGGCACTATTCCTCCCACTGACACCAATGATGGGGCACTATTCCTCCCATTGACACCAATGATGGGGCCGTTATTCCTCCCACAGACACTGTAGATGGGGCACTATTCCTCCCATTGATACCAACCGCGGGCACTATTCCTCCTGCTAAAACCAACAATGAGGCATTGTTTACTCCCACAACATTTTCTATTCACATTGGCCACAGTCTGGCCCCCCTAAAGCCTGAAGGACAATAAACTGGCCCTTTCTTTAAAAATTTTGAAGACCCCTGGTCTACACCAACACCACAGTCTTCATCTCATTCATGCCATCCTAGGCTCAAAAAAAGTAACGTGCCTGGGTTTTGAGTTTTCAAGGTCTAAACTGTAAATTCTATTTGTGACTATTTAATGGATCCTCATTTGTTTGCCTACACTGCACTTGGGAATAGAAAGAACATCCGAAGTATTTGAGAAGGAAACTCATCGCCTCCAATAATAGATGTATAATTTTGATGGCCCTTTCATAAGTTCTGCTTGGACCCCAGTTTTGCCCCCTTTGATCCTACTGCTCACTGGCCATTTTGGTATGAAGTACTTCAATCGGGCCCAGAAACCAGACCCCAATCCTACCTGGAAAGGCTCCCTAACTGCCTCTGGATCCTCGGGTGCTCCCCCTGCTGGCCGCACAACACATTCAGCGCCAACATGCAAAGACGTCACTTCAGACCAACCAACACTGAGTGAACAGATAAATGTCTTCACGGAACAGCCATACCACAACACACACTGTTTTTTTTTTTATTTGTTCCACATCTCTCACTGCTTTTGCTACACACTGCTGGGATTGTAGCACAGGACATTGAACTGCAGGTTCTCGTCCCAGTGCCGGAGCAAGACAAAGAGCTGCTGAGCCGCGGATTTGACCGTGGCCAAGGTGCGTCCCTCTGGGATCTGCTGCTTACACAACCACCTGTCAGCTTTGGAGGCTAGAAGCTCCCACTCTGTGAAATAGGCTGCGGAGTTATTCTCCATCCAGGCCAGGGCCACGGCAGTAGCCCAGATCATGCTTTCTGGATGCGACTTGCGTTGCTCCTCTATGCTCTCCATCCACGACTGCACCTCGGTGCCGTCAGACTCTGACCCCAAACCGCTGTCTGTGTGGATAGAGGAGGTGTCCTGCACACTATCGGGAGAAGAGAACCGACGGATAGGGAGGACGGGGAGGGACAGTTCATTGTTCATCTTTGAAGAGCGAGAAGGGCTATCCAAGGCACTGCTTGATAAGTGCCGCGTTCTCGTTTGTTGGCCGACATCCTCTCCGAACCCGTTCACTGTGGCATGGAGGTCATCTTCCGGCGGCAGCAGCTGGCATGTGCCCGCAGGAGGGTTGGTGTCCTTTCGAGATGGAGAACCGTGAGACATCGGGCTTAGGGCAGCGCGGTGACTGCTGAAAGGGGACGTCCACTTGAGTTTGTCCATTGGGATATTTGCAGCATCAGCAAAGGCCTGGTTGAGCAGGAAGCCTCCACAAGCCAACTGCAGAGTGACCTATCGAAGAAATTACATTATTAGATATCATAGGTGCCAAGAAAAAAAATGACCTTCAATAGATCCTCGTAGGCTACTGTAGTGACTAAAAGAGAAGGGAACAAGGAGGGAGTCCTAATCAATTCCATGCTACAGATTAAAGGGAGTCTCAAAGCCTTCCTGAGATCTTGACCCTGAGGTTGGTGTAACTTTTTACAGGTAAAACAGCTGAAGCCGAGATAAACGTCTTCCTTGGCCCTCATGAGCACCCAGCTTTATGTTGGCCACTATGAAGTAATAGGCGGTAAATCAGTTGACAGTTTTACGTTGGTAGAACCTGCTTGTTCACCTTACCAGAGGTAAATAATCGATGTTCTTCTCGTTCTCACTCTCCTCGCTGCCTTTCCCTGGAGATTTGATCATAAATCCCTTTGCTGCGCGGGTCAGGAGACGGGTCTTGTTCAGAGACAGCCTATAAAGAGAGAGTAGATGAGGAATTTTCTTGGGGGGAGGGCGAGCTGTTGCTAAACACCGCCAAACCATCTTACCTGGCAGCAAAGAGACTTTCTATGGACCTCTGAGAATGGGAGGAGGAAACGGAAGGACTACGTGGGGCACCTACAGGAATGAAGAATGGAAAACACTCAGATCTCTGACCAATGAAGGAAATTCAGCAAGCTTTCCACTGTAGATCCAAATAAAGATGCTGGTGGCTCAATGTAGAATCCAACACAGGTGAAGCTTTATTGTTCCTAACAAGCAAAATGAAGCTGGGACCTTTTCAACTAATTCATTTCATGAATGGTGGGAGCTTCTCTACTGCTATAGCTACTGGTCTCTGAGCCTGACCCCTGACCATGACACAGCCCAAGGGGGGGTGAGCCAACATAAAGGGCACATCAAACAACTTTTTTTTTTTCCTGAAGGCTTTTCACAGAGCTGGAAGACCTGCAACCTCTTGTTACATGACTCTGAGCAGCCTTTCTCTCTGAGAACCCTAGAGGGTGGTATACAACACTAAGACGCCTTTTCACACTCTCACATTCGGGCCCTTCAAAAAAAAAGAATAATTCCTGAGGTTTTTGGGATTTGGAAAACAGTTGGAGCAAAAAGATGAATGCTAGGATAAGAAAAATTACATACACCAGAAAAAGAGCCAAGAAAACAATTCAAAGGAATGTTTCGTGAAAACCCAAATGGAATTAATCTGAGATTTTAGGATGTACCTTGTGGAAAGCTGCATCGCTCCCATCCGGAGGAAATGGGCGTTGTGCAGGGCGAGGTCGCGGTCTCATCCACATCTATGGTGGAAGTAAAACAAATGAAGTTGGCTTTTTATTTCCTTTGGATCGAGTTAAAGATCAATAAACCAAAGAAAGAGAAAAGGTACCAATGGAGTACCCAAAACAGAAGTAGAACAAAGTCTATCACTCCATGCATGGTGAGATACATGGTACCATTGTTCTATACTGTACCCAGTAGGTGTCATGACTACTCAATCAGGTGTGTTGTCAGTTTTATCGAATTATTTCCCGTTGGAGGATTAGAGCCTAAATCAGGTTTTTATTGCCATCAATGTCCCTGATGTGGTTATTCCCCCCCCCCCCCCACTACTTCCCACCAGGGACAATGACAAAAGACACATATTTAGTAGAGTGTGGGAAGGGTCAGATAATCATTTTTTTTCATGCTTTGCTTTCCCTTCCTGGTGACAACCAGTCCTACCATATGTTGTCCTAGTCTCATGGGGATAGGAAGTGAAGACAAATCTCCTCGATGGGGTCATTCTATCCAAAATGTGAAAAAAAAAAAAATGGCTACATATCAGAAATGGCCACCCACCAATGGTTTCACACTCTGGTCTATAATCCATATGATGGGACACGACACTTCTTCTCCCTTTCCTTCCCCCTCTGGTTTTAGGTGACCTGTCTCTGGGTTGGGGTGAATTTGTAAAGAAAGTAACACAAATTTGGAATTTCTGATGTTCGAGGAGGAGGGGCATTTTTGCGGTCTCTTTTTAAAATTGGAGTTTTCCAAAATGACCTATTTCCAGCTGAAGAACTACTACTTGGCCCTACATAGAAGAGGCCTCATACATAGGTCCTTCACACTTTCCTTTCCTGGTGACAACCAGTCCTACCATATTTTGTCCTAGTCTCATGGCAATAGGAAGTGAAGACAGATCTCCTCAATGGGGTCATTCTATCCAAAATGTGAGAAAAAAAAATGGCTACATAACAGTAATGGCCACCCACCAATGGTTTCACACTCTGGTCTATAATCCATATGATGGGAAACTTCTTCTCCCTACGTAGAACAGGCCTGTCTCATACATAGGTCCTTCACACTTTCCTTTTTCCTGGTGACAACCAGTTAGGTCCTTCACTACCATATATGTTGTCCTAGTCTCATGGGGATAGGAAGTGAAGACAAATCTCCTCAATGGGGTCATTCTATCCAAAATGTGAAAAAAAAATGGCTACATATCAGAAATGGCCACCCACCAATGGTTTCACACTGTCTCCTAATCCTATGATGGGAAACTTCTCCCTACGTAGAACAGGCCTCATACATAGGTCCTTCATACTTTCCTTTCCTGGTGACAACCAGTTCTACCATGTCCTAGTCTCATGGGGATAGGAAAGTGAAGACAAATCTCCTCAATGGGGTCATTCTATCCAAAATGTGAAAAAAAAATGGCTACATATCAGAAATGGCCACCCACCAATGGTTTCACACTCTGGTCTATAATCCATTGATGGGACACAACACTTCTTCTCCCTTTCCTTCCCCCTCTGGTTTTAGGTGACCTGTCTCTGGGTCGGGGTGAATTTGTAAAAAAATTACCAAAATTGGAATTTCTGATGTTACAGGAGGAGGGGCATTTTGAGGTCTCTTTTGAAAGTGGAGTTTTCCAAAATGACCTATTTCCAGCTGAAGAACTACTACTTGGCCCTACGTAGAACAGGCCTCATACATAGGTCCTGCACACTTTCCTTTCCTGGTGACAACCAGTCCTACCATATGTTGTCCTAGTCTCATGGGGATAGGAAGTGAAGACAAATCTCCTCAATGGGGTTCATTCTATCCAAAATGTGAAAACAAAATGGCTACATAACAGTAATGGCCACCCACCAATGGTTTCACACTCTGGTCTATAATCCATATGATGGGACACAACACTTCTTCTCCCTTTCCTTCCCCCTCTGGTTTTAGGTGACCTGTCTCTGGGTCGGGGTGAATTTGTAAAAAAATTACCAAAATTGGAATTTCTGATGTTCCAGGAGGAGGGGCATCTTGAGGTCTCTTTTTAAAAGGTGGAGTTTTCCGAAATGACCTATTTCCAGCTGAAGAACTACTACTTGGCCCTACGTAGAAGACGCCTCGTTCATAGGTCCTTCACATCGTTCGAGACAATGTGTTTCTGCTTTTCCGCGTTTGCGGTTTTTTTAGGGTTTTTTTTACCAAAAAAAATTATTTTAACAAGATTTCCTAAGGGACAGGTCCGTGTTTTCACCACGTTTTTTTTGGAAAGGGTCGGGGACTTTTTTTAAATGCAAAAAAGTGCGTTTTTGATTCTATAGACTAATGGAAATGCTGCAGAAAAGCATGCGGTGCGTTTTTGCTGCCTTTTGCATTTTAAATCTGCCTAGCAACAAGAAAAATGTAAAAAAAAAGACAAAAAATAACCAAAACATGCAAAACGCTGCAAAAACGCAAAACACAATGCAGAAACAAGTCGAACGCAACCTGCATAGGTGTGAACAGGGGCGGACTGACCATTTGAGCACTGCCTGAGGGCCCAGGGTCAGTAGGGGGCCCCATACAATGCCCCTGGTACCTTTTATAGGCTCTTGTGGGTGTGTCTTGAGTGTGGGCAAGGACACAGGGGCCCCGTAATCCCCAATTGCCCGGGGGCCCCATGAGTTGTCAGTCCACCCCTGGGTGTGAACCTAGCCTTAGGCCAGCCATACGTGGGTCGATTTCCGAACGAATTTTAATCCGAAAATCGGACCTAAGAATAGTCGGTCGATTTTCGCTCTGTTAGTGGGGCAATGGCATCGGCCAATTTTCGTGGTTCCTGCCCTGTTTTGTTTATCGGGCATGCTGGAAAATTTGTGAAAAATGATCGATTTTCTACATCATTGGTGGCACCATCGGATTACAGAACGAACAAGGTTTTCGATCAAAAAAATCGTTTGGAATTTGATCCGTGTATGGCCTGCATATGTCCAATGAAAGGTCATGTTGTTACATTACTATGCTGTGTGTTTTCAGATGACACCTTCATGTGCTGTATCATGGAGAATCGTCTATATTCGATGTGTTGATACCGGAGGGCAGGGGCGGACTGACCATTCGAGCACTCGGCACTGCCGAGGGCCCAGGGTCTGTAGGGGGCCCCATGAGATGCCCCTGGTACCTTTCATTGGCTTTTTCATAGGCTTTTTTTGGGTATGGGCAAGGACACAGGGGCCCCATGATCTCCTATTGCCCGGGGGCCCTGTGAGTCGTCAGTCCGCCCCTGCCGGAGGGTACACTCAGCACTCTTCTACACTTTACAAAAATAGAACCTTTAAGCTGCAATAGCGCCTTACTGAAAAATCGTTCCTCCGTTGGTTCCGACACACATGTCGACTGGGAGCGCCCGAGGCCGATGGAGAATCCTCGTAGGCGGCGACTTCCGGAGCTCAGGCTCCTCTGGGAACCCTGCTTAAGTGCGGCACCTAGCAGGGAATGAGCGCATCCTCTTCAGTCAGGGGGGAGGGGCCTCCAGACAAGGACAGAGAGAGAGAGAGGACCAGACGAGAGACGGACAGTTAACAGGACAGAAGGACGGGCTGCAGGAGACGGTGGGGGGGGGGGGGGCAGGGGGGGGCAGGAACTAAGACACAGGAGGAAGGCAAACATAGAACCCAGATAAAGGCAGACAAGTGCAGGCGACCACCAAGGCTGAGCGCACGGCCGCACCTCATTTCTTACAGTACTGCGCCACTACCTGTGTTGGCGTACTCCACAACGCTGGGCAGGTACGAGTTGCTGCTCAGGTCGACGGGGACGAAAGCCGTGTACTTGCTGATGACGTTGCAGGCTTTGCTGGCGTTGATGGCGTTCAGCTGGAATCTTCGCCCAATTCCTGTGAAAAAACAAATAAATGAGGTGTGTGGGGGGGGGGGGGTTAGGTCACTTGGTAGCATGATGTCATCACACGTGCTTTATGACAGCTGGCAGTATGATGTCATGCTATATTATGACGTCATCACGTGTGCTTTACAACAGCTGGCGGTATGATGTCATGCTATATTGTGACATCATCACGCTTGCTTTATGACAGCTGGCGGTATGAGGTTGTGCTATATCATGACGTCATCACGTGTGCTTTATGACAGCTGGCGGTATGAGGTTGTGCTATATCATGACGTCATCACGCGTGCTTTAGGACTGCTGGCGGTATGAGGTATGCTATATTATGACGTCATCACGTGTGCTTTATGACAGTCACCGGTATGATGTCATGCTATATTATGACGTCATCACACCTGCTTTATGACAGCTGGCAGTATGATGTCATGCTATATTATGACGTCATCACACGTGCTTTACGACAGCTGGCGGTATGATGTTGTGCTATATTGTGACGTCATCACGCTTGCTTTACGACAGCTGGCGGTATGATGTCGCGCTATATCATGACGTCATCACGCGTACTTTATGACAGTCACCGGTATGATGTCATGCTATATTATGACGTTATCACGCCTGCTTTACTCTGATGTCATGCTATATGTTATCACGCGTGCTGCTTTGTAATGTCGCATCATTGTACTGTAATGTCATCCTTTAGACTGTGTGGCGATTTCGCTCTGGATGATGATGTCATACTTTAGACTGTATGGCGATTTCGCTCTGCAGGATGATGTCATACTTTAGACTGTATGGCGATTTCGCTCTGCAGGATGATGTCATACTTTAGACTGTATGGCGATTTTGCTCTGGATGATGATGTCATACTTTAGACTGTATGGCTATTTCGCTCTAAAGGATGATGTCATACTTTAGACTGTATGGCGATTTCGCTCTGGATGATGATGTCATACTTTAGACTGTATGGCGATTTCGCTCTGGATGATGATGTCATACTTTAGACTGTATGGCGATTTCGCTCTGCAGGATGATGTCATACTTTAGACTGTATGGCGATTTTGCTCTGGATGATGATGTCATACTTTAGACTGTATGGCTATTTCGCTCTAAAGGATGATGTCATACTATAGACTGTATGGCGATTTTGCTCTGGATGATGATGTCATACTTTAGACTGTATGGCGATTTTGCTCTGGATGATGATGTCATACTTTAGACTGTATGGCGATTTTGCTCTGGATGATGATGTCATACTTTAGACTGTATGGCGATTTTTATCTAGATGATGATGTCATACTCCAGACTATACGGTGATGTCACATTAACAAATGATGACATACTTTGAACTGAAAATGATGTCACTCTGTATTGTGTGGCCCGTTCAGCAGACCAGAGAGGACAAGAAATGTTCACAATGGAAGCAGAAGGGGAATAGAAGATATCTGTCAGATATTTCCCGGGAACGCCCGGCCTCCCTCTCCGACCTCCCGCATAAAATGTCCTTTTCCCGTTATTGAGGATTCCAGAACAATCTCTCCTCGGCCAATTATCTGCTGCACGGCGGCGGGGAGATCGTGTTCACCTGTCAGCTCCTGTCTGTTCTCACATCCTCTACGAATTCTTCATGCATGAATATCAGCGGGGATGTGTCCGAGGTGAGAGGAAGGAGGAAAGTTTTACTGAGATTTAAACTGCAGCCCTCTGGAATGTTCCCCCATACACCGCCAATCTGCGGCAGCCGGAAGATGTACAGAGCCAAGGCCTGGAAGGGAACATGTGACCTTCTCCCGAAAGCCATTAAAGGCGGACAGTCACCAGGCCAGGAAGCTCCATAAACATATCTAGCTCTGCTGGGGCGGAGAGAGGATCAGGGAGGAGGAGCTGAATGCTACCAGTGCCAGCTGATTGGACGGCACAGTAGAGGTCAGCAGCCGACTGTGTTTGCACACACCCCCAAGGAACCACCGACATGAAATCACCACCTGGGCCCCTTCTATCTCCAGTCTGTGATCATCCCTCCGTCCTGCAGCAGGCTGGCCATACTAACAGGATTCATGAAGACACAAAAAACTACAAATAAAAAAAAATTATATATATATATATATGTATCTATACATACAGTGAAGGAAATGCGTATTTGCTCCCCTGCTGATGCTGAATGTTCGCCCCTCACACAGAAATGATCGGTCTAACAATGGAATGTTCGCCCCTCACACAGAAATGATCGGTCTAACAATGGAATGTTCGCCCCTCACACAGAAACGATCGGTCTAACAATGGAATGTTTGCCCCTCACACAGAAACGATCGGTCTAACAATGGAATGTTCGCCCCTCACACAGAAACGATCGGTCTAACAATGGAATGTTCGCCCCTCACACAGAAATGATCGGTCTAACAATGGAATGTTGGGTGTAACACTGAGAGACAGAATACAACAACAAATTCAGCAGAAATGCGTCTAACAAATGATGACTGATCTGCATGTTCATGAGGGAAAGAAGGATTTGATCCCCTATCATTCAGCAGGATTTCTGGCTCCCAGGTGTCTTTCATACAGGTTACAAGCTGAGATTAGAAGCAGTCTCTTAAAGGGAGTGCTGCTAATCTCATTGTGTTACCTGTATAAAAGACACCTGTCCACAGGAGCCATCAAACCATCAGATTCCAAACTCTCCCCCATGGCAAAGACCAAAGAGCTGTCCAAGGAGGTCAGGGACAAGATGGTAGACCTACACAAGGCTGGACTGGGCTACCAAACTATGGCCAAGCAGCTTGGTGAGAAGGTGACAACAGTTGGTGCAATCATTCACAAATGGAAGAAACACAAAACAAGTGTCAGTCTCCCTAGGTCTGGTGCACCATGCAAGATCTCACCTCGTGGAGTGTCAATGATCATGAGAACAGTGAGGAATCATCCCAGAACTACACGTGAGGATCTTGTCAATGATCTCCAGGCAGCTGGGACCACAGTCACCAAGAAAACAATTGGTAACACACTACGCCGACAAGGACTGAAATCCTGCAGTGCCCGCAAGGTCCCTCTGCTCAAGAAAGCCCATGTCCAGGCCGTCTGAAGTCTGCCACTGAACATCTGAATGATGCAGAGGAGGACTGGTGGGAAGTGTTGTGGTCAGAGGAGACCAAAATCCAGCTCTTTGGCATCAACTCAACTCACCGTGTTTGGAGGGGGAGGAATGCTGCCTATGACCCCAAGAACACCATCCCAACTGTGAAACATGGTGGTGGAAACATTCTGCTTTGGGGGTGTTTTTCTGCTAAGGGGACAGGACAACTGCACCGCATCAAAGGGACGATGGACGGGCAATGTACCCTCAAATCTTGGGTGAGAACCTTCTTCCCTCAGCCAGGGCATTGAAAATGGGTTGGTGGATGGGTGTTCCAGCATGACAATGACCCAAAACACACGGCCAAGGCAACAAAGGATCGGCTCAAGAAGAAGCACATTAAGGTCCTGGAGTGGCCTAGCCAGTCTCCAGACCTCATCCGAATGAAAATCTGTGGAGGGAGCTGAAAGTTCGAGTTGTCAAACGTCAGCCACCAAACCTTAATGACTTGGAGAGGATCTGCCAAGAGGAGTGGGCCAAAATCCCTCCTGAGATGTGTGCAAACCTGGGGGCCAACTCCAGGAAACGTCTGACCTCTGTGATTGCCAACAAGGGATTGGCCACCAAGTACTAAGTCATGTTTTGTGAAGGGGATCAAATCCTTCTTTCCCTCATGAACATGCAGATCAGTCATCATTTGTTAGACGCATTTCTGCTGAATTTGTTGTTGTATTCTGTCTCTGTGTTACACCGAACATTCGATTGTTAGACCGATCATTTCTGTGTGAGGGGCGAACATTCCATTGTTAGACCGATCATTTCTGTGTGAGGGGCGAACATTCCATTGTTAGACCGATCATTTCTGTGTGAGGGGCGAACATTCAGCATCAGGGGGGAGCAAATACGCATTTCCTTCACTGTATACGTGAAAGGGAATTGTAACTAAATCCTAAAGAGACAGCCAACAGATTGATTAGAGATCGAATAAATCCATTCCATTGTTTCCATTCCGTCCAACTCAATTCCATTCCTGGTCTCTCTACTTTTTCCAAATGCTGCAAAATGGCAGTAAAGTTGTAGGAACCCCCTCAATAATCGATATGTACCATGCTGGCCGATTAATACACAGTCCATGCTGCTGAATGCTAACTACAAGTGGGCATGCTTGGATCCGAAATGTCACAGTATATCGAGAGGGGGATGAATCTAAGCGTGGCGGGGCCACACAAACACAAGGGCCCCCGTGTCGCCATTCCTCAAGTGTTATCAAATGCTTTCATTGCCATCCCATAGAAGTCCCGGACTATGTATACAATCATTTTACCCGTATGCTCTTCAGTGACCAGACATGGGGCCCCATAGCAGTTGTAGGGTCTGCTCTGGCTTGTGGTTCCATTTTTTGGATGGAGAAACCTGGAAAGCTTGGGTAGGATCTGACCATTTCATTACCGTGTTCGATCTCGCTCTCCCTCTCCGCCAGCTGCTCGAAATCTCGGATGATGGATTTGGCGGCCAGGTGGTGGAAGGTCTCGTTCCACAAGTCGCTCTCGTCGTCGTCTCGGTTTTCGCGCTCTCTGAAGAGCTCATGGACGTCGAAGGCGATCTCCCACTGGACTGGCTGGTTGCCCCTTAGGCCCCTGACCACAGCTTTGCAGGCGGACGGGGGGTGGGTGGCCGGGCTGCGGTTCCCAGGCACCAGGTCTTGGCTTATAGACTCGGAGGCCATTTCCGTCTCGAAGGTGAAGCAAGGGTGGTGGCAATCTGCGGAAGAAAACACATCGAGGGGACGAGCAATGCCTTAGTTTTCTATCACAAAATGAACGTTTAAATGGAAAACTCAAGAGGACGAGAATGAAGGGACCCTTGGAAAGGACTAGGAGTTCTATTTCAAGGAACGATTTAATGTATATAAAGATCAGGGGTGGACTGACCATTCAGGTGCTCGGGCACTGCCTGAGGGCCTGGGGTCAGTAGGGGGCCCCATGAGATGGCTCTGGTACCTTTTCATAGGCTTTTTTAGGTGTGTTTGAGTGTTTGCGAGGACACAGGGGCCCTATGATCCCCTATTGCCTGAGGGCCCCATGAGATGCCCCTGGTACCTTTCATAGGCTTTTTGGGTGTGGTTTGAGTGTAGGCAAGGACACAGGGGCCCCATGATCCCCTATTGCCTGAGGGCCCCATGAGATGCCCCTCGTACCTTTCATAGGCTTTTCTGGGTGTGGTTCAAGTGTGGGTGAGGACGCTGTGGCCCCATGATCCCCTATTGCCTGAGGGCCCCATGAGATGCCCCTGGTACCTTTCATAGGCTTTTTTGGGTGTGGTTTGAGTGTGGGTGAGGACATTGTGGCCCCATGATCCCCTATTGCTTGAGGGCCCCATGAGATGCCCCTGGTACCTTTTACATAGGCTTTTTTGAGTGTGGACAAGGACACAGTGGCCCCATGATCCCCTATTGCCTGAGGGCCCCATGAGATGCCCCTGGTACCTTTCATAGGCTTTTTTGGGTGTGGTTTGAGTGTGGTTTGAGTGTGGGTGAGGACATTGTGGCCCCATGATCCCCTATTGCCTGAGGGCCCCATGAGATGCCCCTGGTACCTTTTACATAGGCTTTTTTGAGTGTGGACAAGGACACAGTGGCCCCATGATCCCCTATTGCCTGAGGGCCCCATGAGATGCCCCAGGTACCTTTCATTGGCTTTTTTGAGTGTGGGCGAGGATACAGTGGCCCCATGATCCCCTATTGCCTGGGGGCCCCATAAGTTGCCAGTCCGCCCCTGATAATGACATTATTACGATGGTAACTAACTGAAGTGTATCTTCATATGACAACCTGAGTCTCGGCCAATCCAATTTTATCGCTCAGTGTTGTCAGCCTAACATGTTTCAGGCACTGGAGGCTATGGGGTGAATGAACTGAAGGGAGAACACAAGGAGGGACCCACCCACATTCGCCCCGGCTGGCTGGATGGTTTACAAACTGGTCCCACCATCTTGTGTGTCCCTATCTGATTCATGAACATCATTTTCCTGCAGGAGAGCACCGGGCTTGTGTCACAAGATGCGTCCAGGCGGCTTTCCCCCCGCAACCGAGCGCTTTCCCCCCCGCGAACCGAGCGCTTTCCCCCCCCGCGAACCAAGCGCTTTCCCCCCCGCGACCGAGCGCTTTCCCCCCCCCCCCGCCACCGAGCGCTATCCCCCCCCCGAGCGCTTTCCCCCCGCGACCAAGAGCGCTTTCCCCCGTGCCACCGAGAGCGCTTTCCCCCCCCCCTATTTCCCCCCCGCGACCCGAGTGCGACCGCGACCGAGCGCTTTCCCCCGACCGAGCACTATCCCCCCCGCGACCGACGCTTTCCCCCCCCCCGACCGAGCACTATCCCCCCGCCCCCGCGAGCCAAGCGCTTTCCCCCCCCCGAGCACTATCCCCCCGTGACCGAGCGCCTCATTCATAATAATGTCTGGTAAATAATTCATGGCGCCACCTCCATGGGAATTCTTCGTGCTCTGCGGTCGACTTCACCGAGAGCAAATACAGACGCAGCTTCAATTACACTGTCAGCGGCGGCCTCCACTTTGGAAACTCACCATCATGTGAGGAGGATCGTGCCAAAAAGACGCATAAAAAAACAACTTCATTGTAGATCGCCAACTGGTCTCAGAGTAATTTGTGTCTTATTCAGAAATAAAAAATGAAAGTTTGGGTCTAAGCGTGGATTGGAGGGGACCAAAAATTTAGCACTTCATCCAAAGGAAAAAGGTTCCTAAAATGTATCTAAAATGTATCTAAAAATATATTTAAAAATATATATATATATATATATATATATATAAAATTAAAAAAAAAAGTATCTTAAATGTATCTTAAAAATCTAAATGTATCTAAAATATATTATATTTAAAATGTATCTAAAATGAATCTAAAATACATAGATAAAAAATGTATCTAAAATGTATCTTAAATATATCTTAAATTGATCTAAAAATATATCTAAAAATATATATATCTACAAATGTATCTAAAATATATCTAAAAAAAAAAAAAATAAAAAATAAAATAAAATATATCTAAAATGTATCTTAAATGTAACTAAAATATATCTAAAAATGTATCTAAAAATATATCTATTGTTCCTGACCGGGGTCTATTGATGCTGGAGTGGATCTATTGTTACCAGGGAGAAATTTGTTGCAGGGGGTCTATTTTTGCTGGTGGGGTCAATTGTTGCTGGGAGAGATCAACTGTTGAGGGAGGAGTCTGTTGTTGCTGACTGCTAGAGGGTCTATTGATGCTGGAGTAGATCTATTGTTACCAGGGGGCAATTTGTTGGAGGCGTGTCTATTGTCTTTCCCCCCGCGACCGACCGCTTTCCCCCGGGGGGGGTCTATTGCTGCTCAGGCAGGATCTGTTGCTGCTGGGGAGATCTATAGTTGCTGGCTACAGGGGATCTGTTTTACTGCTTTTCTTATCATTAACCCCATCCAATTGAAATGCCAGAAGGCGGAGGCGGGCATTCCGATCATGTGACCGCTGTGACTGGCTCTCACATTGGTCACATGATCCAAAGCTGCAAGCATGCATCAGGACGCATACATGTGGCCGCTCAGCATTAAAGCCCACCTGCAGAGCGGCCGCCTATATGCGTGCGGACAGCAGGAAGAGGGTAACAAATGACTTACTGCCACAAAATGATACTCGAGTCTGTATTCTCTAAAAGGGGTGGTCCTGGGAGGTGGGTAGGGGGTGGAACCAAGGGTGGACTGACTCAGGGGTGGGTAACTCGGGGCCCGAGGGCCCGGGGACTCAGTAGGGGAAGCCCATGAGATGCCCCTGGTAAAAGCCTTTTTCCATAGGCTTTTTGGAGTTTGGGCAAGGCAAACAGGGGCCCCATGATCCCCTATTGCCCGGGGGCCATGAAAGTTGTTAGTCCACCCCTGGGTGGACATTTGGTGCTTGGGTAGGGGGAGGAGATAAGGGGTGACTCGGAAGGAGGAAAGCTGCACCTATTCGAAAAAGCCCCAACCATAACACTTCTATGGAAGAGTTGCAAACATTTCTTTTTTAAAGTTTTAGACCTGCCATGTTTTTTTGCCAAAACAATACTCTAAAAACAAAAATAAAAACAATAAAAAAACTGCACACATTTTTAAACAACTTGCTATACTTTGCCGCAAGAACTGCAAAATGATCCCACAAAATGTATTCATTTTTTTTTTTTTTTTAACTTAGCTTTTGTATCAAAAAAAAAAGTTTTGCTGAACTTTAAGCAATTTTTTTCAGCAATGTTTTCAGCAATTTTTTCAGCAATTTTTTTATTATAGAAATTGCACAATTTTAATGAAAAAAATTTTTAGAACTTTAATAAAAAAAAAAAAAAATTTTCAAGCAATTTTTTCAGCAATTTTTTCTAAATAGAAATTGCACAATTTTAATGAAAAATTTTGAACTGTAATAAATAAAAAACAAAAATGCCCGGCAAACAGGACTACGGCATTTTGCAGCACCGGCGTCCAAAGCGTAGCCGCATAAAAGTCGGACAATCTTCCCCACACACAGACAGATGCACATGGACCTGAAGAGAGAGTCTCACCCAGATCGCCCGGGCTGCTGAACGGCTGGCTGTCGGAAGAGGATTTCAGAGAGAGGGAGGTCTCATGCTGGGTGGAGGGGCTTCCTGTGTTGAATGGTTTTACCGCCTCGGGGGTCAGTGGGCACTCCCCATCATGGCAGAATGACAGGCAGCTTTGCTGAAGCAGAGACGGACGCCGGGCGCCGGCACCCCTAATCTTTGTGGTGCTGACAAACGGACTGACGGACAAAGAGGACTGATGGGATCCAAGAAAAATATGGATGGGGGTGAGGGTGGGGTGGGGGGGAGGGGGAGATAAGAAAAAGATGGAGGACCATTACCACCTTTATAATTACTGGTGAACTTTCCTCATACAACCAAATATGCGCACAAACTGGTATTCAAATTTAAAGGCAAACCCCGCCCTCAAGAAAATTTTACCCAAATTTTAGTCACATTTCTGTGATATTAAAAATGTTTCACGGTCGGTAAAATGCAGAATTCGGGGATTCTGGCATCCGTTACCCACAAGTGGGAGGAGACTGAACTCCACGGAGGAACTTAGGAACACAATCCAGGGAAAGCAATGGCAGAGATTCTGGGGTGTTCTAAAGAGAAAGTCTATTTTTAATAAAAGCTGAAAAAAAATATATTTATTGGATAAAACCAGACCGAGGACGGGCTTTGTCTTTAATAAACAGCAGGTTCAATTTTTAAAAATTAAAAAAAAAAACAAATCGGTGCTGCCCTCATTTAAATCAAGTTCCAATATTAACTAATTAAATTTATTAAATATTAACTAATTAATTAAATATTGATCGGGATAGGAGGATTTTTTTTTTCCTGCAATTTAAATTTTTTTTTTTTTTTACAATAATTTGGATTTTTGTGACATCCGATTTCTCTGCAGACTATTGCGGCTTTTCGCTCCAGTGGCTTGCGCGTCTGCCTTGCATGCACCAGTAATTATAACATAATGGATAGAGAAGGGCACGGTTTGGGATTTTTTTCGGCATTTTCAGTAACGCCTTTGGAGGGTGTTAATGAAAAAAAAAAATCCTCAATTTCCTCTCCTCTATCCATTATTGCGCTAATTTGTCGAGTCACAAAACCGAAGCCGGAAAACTTACCGATTTTTTTTCCCGGAATAAAGACAGTTTGCTGCTTTCAGATACATATGCATTGAATATTGAAACAATATAATATACCTACCGCCAAGGGGGGGGGGGGGGGGGGGGGGGGGGGGGGGGGGTTCATGGTCACCAAGGCCATTGGCCTCTCACATCATCACTCCATTTCCTTTATTAATTTGCAAAATGACTTCTTGACTTTTACTCCCTCACCAAGTGGCTGTGAGGACCCGGATCTGAACCTACGATCTCCGCTGTGTCTGGCAGTGTCTCTTCTTGCTGAGCCACCTGAGATGATGGACAGCTCCCTGTATCTTGCATGATTCCTTAGACAACCTTGCCTTGTGTCTTGTTTCTCTTGAACCTTTTGTTCCTTCCATGAACTTCCTGTTTAAGCCACGCCTTTGCACTTCTGGTTTGCCAGATTATTGTGCTCTCTCCAGCCGATATTCCGCTCTTGTCTCTCCAACTGCCGTCCGTATCTTTCCCACAACTTGTTACCGACCTTTGGCTTGTTCCTCGACTACACTTCTGCTTGATCCCAACCTGCAACCCCTTGCCACCAACCTTCTGCTTGATCCCCACCTGCAACCCCTTGCCACGAACCTTCTGCTTGATCCCCACCTGCAACCCCTTGCCACCAACCTTCTGCTTGATCCCCACCTGCAACCCCTTGCCACCAACCTTCTGCTTGATCCCCACCTGCAACCCTTGCCACCAACCTTCTGCTTGATCCCCACCTGCAACCCCTTGCCGCCAACCTTCTGCTTGATCCCCACCTGCAACCCCTTGCCGCCAACCTTCTGCTTGATCCCCACCTGCAACCCCTTGCCGCCAACCTTCTGCTTGATCCCAACCTGCAACCCCTTGCCGCCAACCTTCTGCTTGATCCCAACCTGCAACCCCTTGCCGCCAACCTTCTGCTTGTTCCCCATCTGCAACCCCTTGCCACCAACCTTCTGCTTGATCCCCACCGGCAACCCCTTGCCACCAACCTTCTGCTTGATCCCCACCTGCAACCCCTTGCCACCAACCTTCTCCTTGATCCCCACCTGCAACCCCTTGCCACCAACCTTCTGCTTGATCCCCACCTACAACCTCTTGCCCCCATTCTTCTGCTTGATCCCAACCTGCAACCCCTTGTCATTGACCTTTGGCTTGTAACTGACTATGCTTCTGCTTGATCCCAACCTGCAACCCCTTCTTACCAACCTTTGGCTTGCTTACTGACTACACTTCTGCTTGATCTCAACCTGCAACCCCTTGTTACCGACCTTTGGATTTTAACTGACTATGCTTCTGCTTGATCCCAACCTTCAACCCCTTGTTACCAACCTTTGGCTTGTAACTCTCTAAGCTTCTGTTTGATCCCAATCTGTAGCTCCTTGTTATCGACCTTTGGCTTGTAACTGACTATGCTTCTGCTTGATCCCAACTTGCAACCCCTTCTTACCAACCTTTGGCTTGCTTACTGACTACACTTCTGCTTGATCTCAACCTGCAATCCCTTGTTACTGACCTTTGGCTTGTTTACTGACTACACTTCTGCTTGATCCCAACCTGCAACCCCTTGTTACCGACCTTTGGCTTGTAACTCTCTAAGCTTCTGTTTGATCCCAATCTGTAGCTCCTTGTTATCGACCTTTGGCTTGTAACTGACTATGCTTCTGCTTGATCCCAGTCTGCAACCCCTTGTTACCAACCTTTGGCTTGTAACTGACTATACTTCTGCTTGATCCCTACCTGCTATATCTACTATTGGACCCCAGTTTTCTCACCTCCTGGTGGGGTGATCTTGAGGACTGTGACCTGGTACTAACAAGCACCAAAACCCATCTCCACCATCAGAAGCTCTGGTGAACTCTGGTTGGTGCTTAAACCTCTGCACGTCATCTGCCAGGGTGACCTATCCTGCTGGTCAGTGGGAGCCTCTCTACTGCTATAGCTCCTGGTCTCCGAGCCTGAACCCTGACTGTGACAGTGGCAGATTGAGGAACAATATACACTATATGGGTACAAGGTATGCAGACTCTCCTCCTAATGACTCTGCTCAGGTGTCTCCAGTGAACGATACTGTTAATGCTACAGCAGGACATTGTAGACAATTGTGCATATTCAACCTTGGGGTAACAGTTTGGTGAAGACCCTTTTCTGTTAAAGGCATAACTGTATCCTTTTGTACAAAGCCAGCTTCATAAAGACATGGTTCAACCAGTTTGGTGTGGAGGAACTTGAATGTCCTGCACAGACCTCAGCTCTACTGAACACCTCTGGGATTATTGGAACCCCAATGTCCTCATCCAACATCAGTACCTGACCCCACAAATATTATTTTGCATGACAGGGGTTCTAGCCTTCCCTCTGTGCTTCCATACTCAACAGTCTTGGAAAGGTCCTTTTCAGTTTCAGAATGACCAACTCCATGAAGACATAGTTTGACGAGTTTGGTGTGGAAGAACTTGAGTGTCCTGTACAGAGCCCCGACCTCAACTCTACTGAACACCCTTGAGATGAATTGGAACCACAATATGAAGCCAGATGTCCTCATCCAACATCAGTACCTGACTCCACAAATATTATTTCGCATGACAGGGGTTCTAGCCTTCCCCCTGTGCTTCCATACTCAACAATCTTGGAAAGGTCCTTTTCAGTTCCAGAATGACCAACTCCATGAAGACATAGTTTGACGAGTTTGGTGTGGAGAAAAACTTGAGTGTCCTGTACAGAGCCCCGACCTCAACTCTACTGAACACCTCTGGGATTATTAGAACCCCAATTTGAAACCAGATGTCCTCATCCAACATCATTACCTGACCTCACAAATATTATTTCGCATGACAGGGGTTCTAGCCTTCCCGCTGTACTTCCATACTCAACAGTCTTGGAAAGGTCCTTTTTCAGTTCCAGAATGACCAACTCCATGAAGACATAGTTTGACGAGTTTGGTGTGGAAGAACTAGAGTGTCCTGCGCAGAGCCCTGACCTCAACCCTACTGAACACCCTTGAGATGAATTGGAACCCCAATTTGAAGCCAGTTGTCCTCATTCAATATCAGCAACAATACCTAGATATTCTCCAAAATCTTGTTGAAAGCCATCCCAGAAGAATGGAAGTTGTTAGAGCCTTAAAGGAGAGGGTGCAAACTCCACAATAATACCGATTATTCTAAAAACAGACCTTGTAGAACCTGGCTAGGGACAGCCAAGTCCTACAAGGTTTATTATTTGGCACTGATTATCGTACATCACGTCATCTACTGAGGGATATCATCTTGAGTCACAAATCACTGAGGGATGCCATCTTGAGTCACAAATCACTTATCTTTAATTGTTTTCTTTCTTACTAGTTCCAAAAATTATTAAACAACAAAGAACAGGGTGGTGTCACAATAAAAGAAGGGGGGGGGGGGCAAACTGTGAAACCCAAACTAGGGCACTGAAAGAAGTATGGAGGCTGTTTTGTCTCCTGGGCCTCTATCCTATCAGCGTTCAGCCGGTCCCCTCTTTAGGAACGAGTGAGATCAACGACACGGAACTTCGACAAATGTTTTTGATATTTTTAGACGCCGCAGTCAAAATAAAAACAGAAATACTTTGTACTAGAACATTTGTAGATATCTACACGAAACAGGGACCTACTTCAACAGATGTAGCCTCCCACGAGTAATCTGCCAAAGAAAAGGCGAAAAAAAAGCATTTTTTTTTTTTTTTTAGGGGTTCTCCAATATGTGCAAAATTTTGAGATGAGGATTGAGATCTGGAATGTAATGGAGGGAGATAATTTCTTTAACTCCAATTTTCTTGGGCGTATAAAGCCACCAATACCACGATGGAGGATGAAGTAGAAGTTGCAGAAAACCTTCAACCTGTTTTTTTTTTTTATAATGGAAACACTAGATGGGTTATCTATGGTACTACACGCCGTTCCCGTCCATTGTTACCAACCAAAGTGGCTGGAGTGGAACGCACGGTACCTTGTAAAGGCCAAAATCTTACAATGGTCAACTGAACTGGTTTGGGGTCAATTGAATTAAAAAAAATTTTAACCACCTCCCGTCCGGCCCATGTATATAAACAGCCAGACAGTGGCAGTGCAGGGGCGGGTGGACGTTTATAAATGGCCTCT